TTAAACTAGATTTCACAAAATAATTGAAAGTCAAAATAAAAACGACAGTTTTCCCTCCAAAAGGCCCAGAGCGAATCCCCGTCAGTTTGACTTTAGAACGGAAGTCCATCTTTTTTTATTAATAATTTTGGCTTGGATACAAGTACCTTGAGCCATGTCTTCGTTTAATTATGTTTCTGTAAATATGGCCGCCAGAAAGAGGATAGGTAATTTGAGGCGGCGGCGCGGCGGCGTGCATGGATTGACTCGGGATTCCTTAGAACGGGCCGATACGGGTATTTTAGTTCGAGATTCGTATAATTTCGCGTTTTAATCTTCGATTAAGGCACAATAGCACTATTCTATTCCACTTTAAACTAGATTTCACAAAATAATTGAAAGTCAAAATAAAAACGACACTTTTCCCTCCAAAAGGTCTAGAGCGAAATCAAGTCCATCACTGGATTCCACTTTTTATAATAGAGATGGTTAATATAATACACAGCTCATAATATTAGATGGCACTGTATTCTATATGAAAATTGCGGCTCTTGTCATTGGTTGAACAATTATAACGTGAAATACTTTCACATATTATTTGTAGCATTTAACGTTTGGTGCGAAATGTGAAATAGCTGATTGGTTTATTGATGTTAAATTTCACGTTTGAGTACGCTAAGCGCTAATGCTATTTTTAGCACTTAGCAAGTATTATAATTGTAGTTATGTTATAATTATAATTTTGGTTACGTTTTAATACAATTTTGAGCTAATGGTGGAACGTTAGCAAAATTTCGTCTGGTGAAGCGATTTAAATTATGATATAATTAAGTTCTTGGATTTATTTAGTTAGTTTAGTGTTTGTTTAATTAATAAGTCATTGTAATATTTGTTTATAAAAGTACGAGTGTGTGCGTTATTGTTAATTATTATGACAGTGTAATGTTTTGCGCAAATTGTAAATAGTAAATTGTTAAAGTATGAAGGGAAGCTCATTGATCTATCGTCTATAACCTGTAAACACCATATCATGTAATAGTTACAAAACAAATGAAGTCGGTCGTAACTAACTATAAAAACTGTAAACTATTCTATAGATAGACCATATATGTTATACTTAACAAGTTAGCGCATGTCAACTATTTCACGTTTCTTTCCATTCGTTATATTATCACACGACCTTGAGCTGCTAAAAATTATAATTTTAGCACTTTAAATAGCGCGCTATAAAAATGTAGCATTTAGCGTGCTATGCGAATATAGCAGAATGTTATCTCTACTTTGTAATTGTTCTTTTTTTAATCATTCGTTATATTATCACACGACCTTAAGCTGCTAAAAATTATAATTTTAACACTTTAAATAGCGCGCTATAAAAATGTAGCATTTTGCGTGCTATGCGAATATAGCAGAATGTTATCTCTACTTTGTAATTGTTCTTTTTTTAATCTATGATTTATTTAATTTAGCACGGAATACCTCTCTATAAAACCGCCCATTCACTACCTGTGTGGTAGTCCCTTAGACTATTTTTTTCCATCCTCTAAGGGTAGTCCGCTGAGCAGGCAGGAGACTACTCACCATAAGCAATTCCCCTACATAAGCAATACTCTTTGCTACTTACACACTATTCTGAATATGACCCACGTATGGAGTCTGGCAGGACGCATTGCAGGATTGCAGGATGGCTTGCACACTGCGACTACATTCATAACCCTGCATTACGCGGTGGACGGCTAGGCGGACTGCAATGCAGGGTAATGAGTGCCCCCTTTAAAATTTCTCTTAACATTCATTGTCCAGCATTGCAGTCTAGAACGCGCGTTCAACACGCACCGACTGATCATCACCATGCTAATGCCAGGTTCTTGTCGGTGACTGATATTATGAGTAATTATATAGTTCAAGACAAAGTGATTCACATCCTACCGGATAATTTTATATAGGCGGTTTGCTAATAATTCCATGTGAATGTTACTATATAAGCGGAGCATGTACGATGTTGGAAAAATATCAATATAATTCATAAAGAATCAAATAAAACTTGTTTTTATCAGTGATCATCTCTAACAAAAAAATTATAAAATGATAGAATGCAGGGGAGCCGTCAATGTACAACACAGTAATGTACAAGAGTCTCGAATGCAGTAGCATTTCTCCCACATACCGTTAATCCCCATGAAATTCTCAATCGAGTTGTTGAGTTGCTTTTTTGAAATACATAATTAATTTTTTTGTTTGTTTTAATTTAATTTATTTATTTAATTGACAACAGTGCAGATAATTCAGAGAAGTCTGACGAAAGAATCGGACATGTATCCCAGCGCTCAAAGTGGATCTTTCTCCATAAAGTGGACTGCAATTAATGTCCACTTTCGAAAAAATATATTTTTCAGAAACACAAATATTTGTACGGATGTTTTTCCAATATTTTTCTTTTGTGTGTTTTATATGTGGTTGTCGGTTGTAATAAGTTGTATAAGTTTTTTTCGTAGTTAATCATTTTAAATTTCCTTATTATTTTAAGTGAGCTAAAAGTCACACAAGCTTATTTTATAATTGACGCTAAATAAAATACCAAAAGATATTTCTAAACGCAGAACCTAATATGAGCCTTCCAAAATATAATTTTCCAATTTTTCCAATTTTTCGGAAAATTATCCAACAGTAACTGCAATGCAGAATATTGAATGGGCCCCAGAATATTTGCTTGCAGTAACTTGTATAATTATTGAGAGTTTACGTGATCATAGACTAACCATGGCGCCGAGCCGTACCGGTACCGCTTCGTACCACAGACTATAGATTTACTGATTTACAATAATATTGTCAAATCAAAAAAAAAATTGTGGACGGTTCGGGATTACGCTAGTTATTGTGGTTTTATAAATAAAAAGTGTAAAAATGAATCAAATGAACATGCACCCGGTTCCAACAAACCCTAACGTTGTTGGAGCCAACGCTAACGTGGGCATGCATATGCCACAAGGGCCGATAATGCAACAACCGTCACCGCAGCAAATGCAGCCAGGTCCTACAATGCCTCAGCAACCTCAACAGGATAAGATGGACAATATTTCCAAAGTGAAAACCCTTATGGGCTCCTTGAGAGAATCTATACCCGTAAGTTGGTAGTAGTAGCTGTAGCTTAACTGGTATCTTCATGTAGTTCACATTTCTTCTATGCAGTGTTTTAAAGTCGCATTTTAATCATTATTTTCTTTCCAGATGACTCTGAAGTCAGCAGCGCAGGTTCTCCACCAGAATCACAATTCTGACTCCAATTCGCAGTAAGTGATATGCAAATTAGTGTACCTTAAATAAGTTAATTATACACATCTTCACATAAAGCCGTCACTGTAGTTCTTTTGTTTTGTAAAATATTTACTAAGTTATTCATAAGTACCTAGTTTTAGTAGTATTGCGACAGGAGAAATAAACGTTTTTTTTTTGTGGCCAAATATTTTAACTGAATCACTGTATGCCAACATGTGGAATACATCTCTTATACTGATTAACAAAAATGAAGCGTAACACTCAAATGTAAACAAAATCTAATAACTAAATAAATTATACATTAACCTGGTCAAGTAGTAGCAGTAGAGCTCCTTGTGAAAGAGTTTGTTCAGGTTAGTACTCTCCTAACTAACCTAACCTTACCTATTTCTGCTGCCAAGCAGTAATGTCGACATTACTGTGTTCCGGATCTGGAGGGTAAGGGTGCTGGTAAAATTACATTTTGTATCTCAGATTCCACATCAAAAAATTGGTAAATGACTATTCTGATCTCTGCTATTTATACATACAGTAGTTACACATCATTCCCCATCAGATTGCAATAGACATAGGACATGTTTTGCATACTGGCTCTTTCGAGAAATACAAAAAAGTACCATCATCATGTCAACTATGTGTGATAACTGTAATAATACCAACCAACCAAAGCTAGACCAGATTAGAATGGCATCGCTGTGAGAAGATAGTGCATCTGAACGCTCAATGACTCACAAATAAACGGTTCACAGCAGTATGAGCCACTAAAAACTCATTTTTTTATATTATTTTCCTAGGCTCCTTATTTTAAGCTTATATCTACAAATTAAATTTTTCTGGGAATAAAGTACCAAGCTCCATACTCATTTGGTACAAGTCTTTTAGAAGCTATGAAAGCTGCTATGAATGTTCTACAAAAGAATAACATGGAACTTGATAATAAGAACAACAATTTAGAAATAAGGGTAGGTGCTCTAGAGTAGTATGCAGGAAATGGAACAAACACTAAAAACTATGCAAACGGATTGAACACATTCTTCCATCCAGCAAAAGCAAAAACGTTCCCAGTAGCCCAGAAACTCAACCAAGAAACTACAGTGATGTTAAACATGCTAAGCGTATGCCTCCAGTTCAGATTGAATTAACCTCTGAGCAAAAACAAACATGTTGTCTGCAACAAAATCACTGGAATCTAGGATAAACATCTCTGAGATGATGTCCTCTATTCTGACCTCTAGTCTATCTCATTATGTGAAACACTAACACCTCAAATGTATTGGGAATGTAATGAAATAACTAAATACAACTTCTAATGAATTTACATTTACAACTTTTTAAAGAAAGATGTATTATTTATATTTTGTTGTATCTTGTATTTTGAAAGATGTATTACTTATATTTTTTTGTATCTTGTATTTTGAAATTGATATTAATTAATAGGATTTTAAACTAGTATATAGGAATGAACTAAAGTTTTTAACACACCACCCTTTTATTTCGCACTGCTTCCTGGCGTTCCAGAATTGGAGTCCAAGATCTATTTTGGGGCACCGAACTAGGAAAGTAAGTAAGGTCTTAAAGTAAGAAAGACACTTTGTGGTGCAAATCATAATGTTTGCAAACACTTGAGCTCATTCCAACCTCATGATTTTAAATAATAATGAAATATGGATTTTTTAAGATTTGTGGTTATTCACTATTGCCTTTCTTTTAAACATCAAATGAACACATAAATAATATTTTATATTTTGTCTTTAATGCGGCGTCTGGTTAATCGTTTGGTTTGTTTGATGGTAAGTAAATATTTTACACTTTCTTCAGACTCTTCTTCTTCTTCTTCTTCTTCATAAACTTTTTTCTTTAGGATTTGATTAATTGATTTTTTCGTTTGGTAGTATGTGTGGTATACATAGATAACCAGTAACATATTATGGGTTATATAATTACGTCGCCAGTGGTGGCAGTGTTAACTTTAGACATCAATAATCGTGTTTATATTTACAGCAACTTGTTTATTAAAATCCTGCATTGTATTGTAAGTTAAAATGTAAATTGTAGCCTCCAAACCTTATACTTTATTAACTCGAGTTAAGACGGGATGACGTGTTTTTTCTCAACTGTACAGTATTTTTGGTTATTATAATCATAGAAATAACTTTACACTAATGACAAAATTGAATCTCTATTAAAAGTTCAATGTTGTAAATGTTCATATGTATTGTGTTTATTAAATTTGGTATTGCCCCATTTGTACACTGAAAATAAGTTTTAGAAGATATTTTATTATTTTTATAATAAATTTCAAAATAATTTTTTATTGCAGGAAAAGCTTGGACAACGCAGTGCCAAGATTTGACAAGCATTTTGAAGAATTCTTCTCATTGTGTGACCAGATGGAACTACACTTGGTGAGTTAAATTTTGATAAGAGGGGTTGTTAGGCCAACCAACTGTGGACACAAAGTGTTCTGAAGGTTGACTTCGCACTGGTATCTGCTTCTATGCGTTAACGCTTAATAGGCATAATAATGTTATTTTATTACTTATATTATTCAATTTTATTGAAGCTCAGGTAAAATGTTTCTTTAATATGGGAGGCGTTACGAGTACAGGTAGGTATAGAGAGCGCATACGTGTAGTTAATTTTCACTGCGTCGTGATGTCAGTATAATATTAGTGTCTTTCTATCATCATACACTTGCATGTTTATTAAACGTTTGCGTACAGTCAACGTCAAATGTCGCTAATTATCTAGAGATAACTTATAGAATAGTGTAGTAAGTAAAGGTTACTTTGAATTTTATAACATTATTCTCCCTATCTACCATGCACGCTGTTGTCCGCTTATTACTTTAAGGGCGCGTTTATTTGACACGAATTTCAACGTGATAACGCCGCGCGGCGACTGCGTGCGCGTGTTTATAGAGACCGAATTGTTATAGCAAAATATGCTCTATTTATTTAGCATTTACGTCGCGGGCGAGGGCATGGGCGAGGTTGGCATGTCTTTGGTCTACGCGACTACCGCGCCGTGATCGCGTGGTGGTATTATTCCGAGGAATTTAAATATTGTTGTCTAGTAAATAGAATTTAGATTCGCCATTCATGTACGTACGTACGTGAAAGTGAGGTGGCCGGACGGTTACTGCGCGTCGGCCGCACAAAAACTGTCGCGTCTTGTAACTGGTCGCCTGTCTTGGGGCGACTGGAAGAGTTCTCTTTTGTAGAGAAGTCCACTTTTACTCACCTTTTGTATAATTAATCGGTACAAAAGATATATTTTTCTTTATTAACCGACTCCAAAAAAGATGTTCTCAATTCGACTGTATTTTATTGTGTGTACGTTACGATTAGTCCGGTGAACATATTTCTATGATTTTTATCTCAGTATTGGTCACATTTAAAGAAGAAAAAATCCACCTCTAAGGGTGGCAAACTAGGGGATGAATCCGGTTTCGTGCACTTTCCGGTGATCAATTTCAATAAAACTTGACAAATGGATGTAATTCCACGAACTTTTGAGGTCGGGTTTTGTTTTTTATGATTTACCCACTTGTTTAGTGCCATAAAGAATATAACTCTTTATCAAAGTATGAGAAGTATTATTAAATATTTCCAGTACTTACTTTGTAAAGATCTCTAGAAGAGATAGTTAATACTGTCATATGAAAAGGGAGAAAATAAAATACTAAGAACTCCAACTATTTAGTGACTTTTCATGGTGAATGTATGTATATCACTATCTAAGTGCAATATAACACGTTAACCTCACGTAACCACTCACTCCACTCGTCTTATCTTCGGCCAATAATATTGCCTGTTGTTGTGACGCCCCTTAAGTAAGCAGTCATAACAAGCGAATTGTTTTCGTTTGATTGATGTGTTTTGATAATGTGAAGAAACCTGCATGTTCGAATAATCTGACCCGAGTGCTAATAACCTCTGGTCATTTCCTAAATATGTGGTTTACCCTTCAGATAGATACTAACGTCGCTTAGACACCATTCTACGGGCATTCTTTTGAAGGAATTTGTAAGTAGGGCCTATTATTACCTGGAGGCGATCACCACCCAAAGCTCCGCTACCGTATTCACAACTCAACCACAGTGTATTAATTATAAGACGAGTAATGCAACTCCTTCCTTTTCGGCACATCAATGCCTGCATTTCGCTCTGAGCGTAGGGTTGTCACAATATTATTTTACTTGAACCGAACATTACAGGACGTAAACAGAATTAGAAAAAGTTTTTCTCGAGCTGTATTGAAATAACCTTTGTTAAATGTAGTAATTATGTATTGTATGATATTTTTAATAGCAGTAGAGCCATCTTAGCTATTTCTGCCGCCAAGCAGTAATGTCAGCATTACTGTGTTCCGGTTTTGAAAAGCAAGTGCTGGTGAAATTACAGGCACATGGGACTTGTCAACTTATGTCTCACGGTGACTTTGCGATTTAAAGCTCTGAGTAGCACTGCAACTGTTATGGACAGGCGTATAGCTTACCATGATGCGCACGACTTGTTCGTCCCGTCACTAGATATTATAAAAAAATAAATATATATATTATGAAATGCTGAACAATTCTGAATTTGAAGCACTTTTACTCAAACAATCCTAAACACAACAATAAACACGTCTACTGTTTGTTGTCATTTTTAACCGACTTCAAAAAAGGAGGAGGTTCTCAATTCGACTGTATGTTCTTTTTTTCTGTTTTTTTTTTGTATGTATGTTACACGATAACACAAATGCCGATTTGTGAACCGATTTTCATGATTCTTTTTTTGTTGGTACTTCCATAGTGGTCCTATTTCATTTTGAAGAAAATCATCCACCTCGAAGGGTGGCTGTTCACGCATGAAGATTCATTTTTATAAATAGTGCCTAACTTTAATTTAGGAGCAATTACTTTAATGCTTGATTTTGCTATTTCTTCAATTCAAGGCGTTTTTCTCTCAATATACTTTGAGTAGTTTCGTAGTGAGAACCTATTTTTATTGTCTCCAGTGTCAAGTCCTGTATAGTGGCGAACTAGGGGATATTTCAATAAAACTTAGCAAATAGACGTAATTCCACGTACTTTTGAGGTCGGTTTTTTTAGTACTCTGTACTGAGATTATTAAATACCGAGTGAACGCTTTATTCTGTAATGAAAGGAGCGTCACGTTATGCAACGCAACTATCGTAAAAAAAACCGCGTCAATTCTATAGTGGTGGTGCATGGGACTATCCACGCTCTGTGCAACTCGGGTTTATGCGAATTTGAATATACACGGAACAAGGCGCACGAGGGCGGCGGCGGGCGTGGACAAATACAAACCGCGCTGCTACGTTTGTGTGGAGTTACAGTTTGTCTCTATATCACAGAACAATAAATACAATAGAAGTGCTTAGTGGGCGTGTCACGTGCGCCAACAGTACGCGTGAGCTCAGTCTGCCATTTTCGCTTTGTACGTTATGGTCGTGTCAATTATCTCACGCAAAACCTTGAAAATCGTCGAAAAATGTCTTATTTTTAACTGCCTCCTTGGCCGAACGGTTGCGGTCCCAGGTTCGATTCCCGGGCCGGGAGAAATATTTGTATGGCCTACATTTATTTCTCACGTGAGTTTGGGTGTAATTTGTGGTTGTCTATGTGTGTGCCCATGGCACCCGCGACACAGGGTTTCCCTAATGCGGGGCTATGTTGAGTGTGTACGTTGAGTGTGCATACGTTATTTTGCTACTTTGGAGAAGACACGAAAGTAAACCTTATACTCTTCTTTGGAGAACGTTATTAGGCGTTAATCGTTCGTCGTCTCATAGTCTTTCAGTTATTGCCGCTAGATGGCGACACATTGCATGAAATTTCAGTATAAAATCAAAACGTCGTAACTTGTAATAATACATATTGAACTTTAAACGATATGCTATCTGGGTAGTGTTTTTCAATTAGCAACTACGACCAATCATTATCAACATTAAGAGAAGTGTTTAACATTATGATTGTGTGAGTTTTGACGATGCGAGTAAACGAATGCCTTAGCACTGCGATTGTTTTTTTTTCTTCCGTGTCTTATACCGTGACTCAAACCTTATTGCTATGATTAATATGCACTTTTTCATTATATTTTCATACCTTAATTTATACTTAACACTTTTCCATTCTTCGTCTTTCAATCATTAAAATGGCGTATATATTTCAGCGCACCGCAATCACCTGTATCCAACAAGCGCAATCCGCAGCCCACTACTTGCCGCTGACTGTGATACCTTCCAGGTTGGACTCCACTAATACCCAGGTATGCATTAAACGGTTTTGAGTATTTCAAAATACACCTTATGTAAGTTACAAAGTAAAGAAAATCATCAAGTTATATTCGCCGTGAACAAAGTTGTTTTTAACAACTTGTAGCACGATGTAAGGCTACGCTATTTTCTTTATTATTCTCAGGAAACGACGCTGAGCTACCCGCAGTACTTGAACACGGTCCGTCTACAGATCTCGTACGCGAAAGACATACACGACACCCTCATCGCTGCCGCGCAGAATATCTCGCCGACAGAATGACGAGAGGAGCTTCCGTAGCATACGGAGTTAAACGCTTATAGAACAGCGTGAATTAATTTAAAATATACGCTACTTTGCTACGCAGTGACGTGATTTAATCAGGACTCTTATTAATAATTAATTTCGCTTGTAAATAGTTTTCACTCCATAGACGGACTCCAATGCATACTTTCTTTACATAACTATGTCTAAGAGACATTGGCCTACCAACAAGTTAATCCTAAAAACCTTTATTTTATGCAACTTTAAAAAACAAGTATCTTCTGCATTTATCTTCATGGCAAGCCATGAAACATTATATAACATGAAACATAATATATATAATAATAATAAGAATAAAATCCAATAAACGTTGAGTCTTACAATTAAAAACAAGCATGAAACCTAATAGTTAATATATACTTTACCGTGAAGTAAGTACACGAAGTTATTAATCACTAAATATGCAAATTGCAAACTTTTGCCGACGTGTTTTGAATATTTAATTATGTAATTGGAGTTTATGTAAGGCTTCATTTTATGTGTTATTCAAAATGGTATGTAGTCCGATTTAATTGAAAGTGGTGGTACCTTTATGGTTGCAATACAAATAGCCTTGGTGGTAATACAAATAGGCTATTTGTGTTCGCCATTGTGTATTTCTTGTTCTTGGAAAACTGACAAATATGACCGTCTATATTTGGAGCCAAATAAGGAGTTCGTCCACGGATGGACGATTTACTTGCGTATTTGCCTAGTTGACTCCTTTTATGTGCGTCGAGAAACCGACCAACAAGTGGTAACGCGTGTTTGCTGTATTTATTGTATAAGCAAACAAGCCAAATACTAACACGTGCTATCTACACACGGTGATTGTTTGCCAAATATATCAAATACAAATAGCCATGTGGAGTGCCACGATTAGACTTAAGCCATAACAAGGAAGTAACATTTTTCTTGCAAATGGCGCTAGTTCTTGTTACCTTTCCTTGCCTTCTTTCAATTTGGAACATGGCACTATAACTTTGCGGTATTTATTTTAGTCTAATTTATTTATTTTATTTTTGTTTTATTGCTTTTACAACATGGATTTGAATATGATTAATCAGATGACAATTAAAAGCTTCGACATATGAAAATAACACTACCATAACACAATTTAACGCTTCTATGAGAACACGACAATCGTAAGAAGTAATTAGTCATGATAGTTTTTATATTCTTAACGCTGTTACAGAAAATATCTATGCGACTGTCATCATTGAGTTGGTAAAAGGATGTTAATGATCTTGGTAGATAACTATTAACTCTAAAATTAGTACGACTAAATGGAACATGAAGCAAATTATTCTTACCAAACTTTTTAACTGGAACTTTAATAGTATAATGATACTGAGGAGCTCTGGACAATCAATCTTATTCTGTGCAATGTTCAGCAGAAAACATGCAACTAGATGTTATGTACAAGTATGTGTTGGAGTCCGAACGGCGTCAGTCTCGGTAAAATAAAGTGTACTCGTAGCTAAAGTGATGTCTGAATTGAACTACGTGCAATTTTAAAGTATCATACTCGTATCAGAGATCACTATTTCAATGTTTATATTTAATTACTCTTTTATTTGAATGGGATTTTACTCTTAAGAATATTAATAAGCATGAGTTACTGAATGTTACGATGTTTCACCGTGATATTCAATTATTTATGTGAATTTACTCCACTAGTTTGTTATAATCCTAATTAATACAAAGATCGAACTCTTAAGAAAAAATTACTTCGATCCGGCTGGATTCGAACCAGCGTCTTCCAACAAACCGTGCTAGACGCTTTGCCAACCAAGCCACGGGACGTGTATGTGCTTGTTGCAGATCTTTATTTTTCGTTTTTAACGACTCTAAAGGTCGTATTCCAGAACTCTACTCAATGCTCAAGTCAGGATTTGAGCAGACTTGAGTATGATTTCAAGCACTGGAAATACAACCCTAATAGCAAGGACTTGAGTATGATTTTCAGTGCTCCCTGCAATACTCAAGTCCTGACTTGATTGAGTAGAGTCCCGGAAAAGACCCTGAGAAATCTATTTCTACACTCAGCCAGGTACTTACATAAGATTATCTTACATTAGATTTTTTGCCAGGTTTTGAGATAAGGCAAGTAAGTGTCTTTATACCTTCGTATGTACTTGTAATAAAAGATTGTTAGGTAAGTTCATAAAGAACTATTAAGTTTGTCACGTAATTGAACCAATATAATATGGTAATTTGGGCAGCTAGGAACGATTAGTAAAATCGTTTGTTAATAAAAAGAAGAAAAATGTTAAGATTGTAATTTGCGGCCGTCTTACATAACAAAATAGCACTTGTCTATACTTAATGTAAAGTCCCTTTCAACGTTACAGTTCTACATAATCAAAAGTCAAAATCTAAAAATAAAGCCTGTACTTTATCACATTTCACTCAAACAGTTTCCTCTGAATAGCAGGTTTTTTATATGATACGTGACGGCACCAACAAGTCGTGCACTTGGTAGTACGCGACGCGCCTGTTCATAACAGTTGCAGTGCCACTCAAAGATCTGAGGGGCACTGCCACTGCGGTTGACAAGTCCATGTGCAAGTTCAAGAGTTCGTCCAAGGAAGTACTGCCACCTTACCTATTTCTGCCGCCAAGCAGTAATATGAACATTACTGCGTTCCGGTATTGAACGGTAAGGGTGCTGGTGTACAGGCTAATAGTACTTGTCAACTTATGTGTCAGGGTGTCGGGCGCAGTAGCAGTGCCTCTCAGATCTTTGCGATTTAAAGCTCTGAGTGGCACTGCAACTGTTATGACAGGCGTATCGCTTACCATCACGCGCACGACTTGTTCGTCCCGTCGCTAATATATACTGATATATAAGATAGCTAATATTTTAGATATTTCAAAAAAATTTAATCTTGTATCACATTTGTACTGTAATTTATCGTGATACTTTGTATTTATGATACGTCGTTTGTACGTTACGTTCTATGGCTTTTTTCCTAAAAACTTAGGGTCATATTCCAGAACTCTACTCAATGCTCTTGATGCAAATGCAAATGATTTGAGTATGATTCAAAGCACTAGAAATCACACTCAAGTCCTTGCCATTAGGGTCGCATTTCCAGTGCTTGAAATCATACTCAAGTCTGCTCAAATCCTGACTTGAGCATTGAGTAGAGTTTTTGAATACGACCCTTAGTGACGTTCCGCAAACAACAGGGTGCTAATATTATATTATTAATTAAATCATGTATATTAAAATTGAACATCTTCTAATTCTACTAGACGCCGGTAGAAATGCCCTCAAAACTGAAAGCAAGACTTTATTTCACTAATAGAATTGTAATACAATTTTTAAGTTTGCCAAAACTTTAATGAATACTAAATTTCTATATATGTACAATTACTATACTAGTACAATCAAGTACATTGCATTGCATGCATTGATACTAATAAATGAATGTGAACGATTTGTTACGACTCTAAAACTGTATGTCAAAATCACCATGCTATCTTTGTTCGGACTATAATATAAGAAATTAGTAGAGTTAGTGAAAATAAAATTATTCCTCATGTAATGATTTACTATTGTTCGAAAGACCCGTAGTTACGAGAAGTTGATACATTACTAAATATCTAATATTGCAAGTATAGATAGTATCACGGTGGTCAAAATAACCAAATGATTATTCGCTTTACTTTCTCAAACTCGTACCTTAAAGCACAAAGTTACCGAAATGCAAAAATTGTATCGTATATACAAATTTTGCAGGCTGATTTCACATCACATTTCCTTCATATTTACACACTGGCTTATAACCTATTCTGCATCCTAATTAACACCCTTGGTAAGAAATTTAAAATAAATAGAAAGTTTTGCCATCTACTGAATAATCACTCTTTATAAGATACAAGTTTGAGAAAGTAAGGCATCGAATATATTTAGAAGTAAAGTCGTAATTACCTCGTAATATAAACTTAAACTATCATAGGAACATTTATGTCTTTATTAGAATTAGAAGTATGTACTCTCTACACAGACGATATTCATTTTTGTGGCATACTAAACAAATCTTATGTAATTACTCTGAAAATAAACCATGTTTATGATCCTTTGGAATAACATTTCACGTGATAATACGCCCTTGTAGTTGGCGGGTATCGTACAGCATGTTACGTAATAATCCAGCCATGCGATTGGTCGGTTTAATTTTCCTTTTTTTTTTACTTATTGGAATGAACAAACAAACGAAGAGAACATCGTCTGTGAAGTTATTTAGTATTTTATGCAGTCGGCTATATTCCAACCAACTCAAATGATACATTAATATTGTATTGTCATCCAAACAATGTACTCTTAAAAACAATTATAATATTAGCACATTAACTTTATTACAGGCGATTATAATTAATTAATTAATTAATTATTATAATAACCATTAATAGCAAGTAATGGTAATCACGACAGAAAATAATTGTTTCTCTGTCTACAGGTCATACTGACCAGGATTTGGACGTAGATTAATGTATTAAATACCAAAATGAATACATTAACATCGTTTATAACCGTATGAAAGTATGATCGTGTGCACTAGGCTTTGGCAGCGGCGTAGTTTAAGCCTAGCTTCACACGTACCAAAATTCATACACGCTATTTCGTTACTTTCCAAATCGACGCAGGAAAGCAATCTCGAAAAAATACTTTTATAAATTTGGTATCATAAAAAAAATCCGCGTTTATAGGTCTAGAAACACACAAAAAATGCTGTAACTTGAACTTACAAGTTAGAAGTCGTATATAACGACAAGATCCAGCGACGATATGTACGAATTCCAAGCCGCCATTTTGAAATCTCTAATTGGAAAGATTTCAAATGCTGTAAATTGAACTTACAAGTTAGAAGTCGTATATAACGACAAGATCCAGTGACGATATGTACCAATTCCAGGCCGCCAATTTGAAATCTCTAATTGGAAAGATTTCAAATGCTGTAAATTGAACTTACAAGTAAGAAGTATATAACGACAAGATCCAGAGTCGATATGTACCAATTCCAGGCCGACATTTTGAAATCTCTAATAGGAAAGATTCAATAGTTGCGGCGCTATACCAACTATTCAGCAGAGTTGACGGACAAAGCGAAGCATATTCGTTGCTCCCCTCTCTCACCACAAGCCTAGCTGGAATGATCAGGGCCATATACACTACACTCCGACAAATTTGACAAATTACACAAATCGCACCCCTCACGGAAGAATGACATAAGTGGACTTACGTCAAAAACGTTTATTGCTCCATTAAGATACAGAAAAATATAACCCACGTCCTCTCCAATTCTTGTAACTCTGAAATGACTATATAGTAGACGTAACTCCACTTATTCCATTTCGCACCTTTCATGGATGAGGGGTGCAAAATGTCGCATTGTACTGCAAAAACTACAAAATATGTTGAAAGCTACAAAGCAATTCGTTGAAGATTGTCACGCCTATAAATCCTGTTCAGTAAATATTTACAAATTTGTAATGTAACTTACATCAAGAGCAAAATTATTAAAAAAATGTATACGAAGATAGGATTAAATAAGTTAAAAGTTTTTTAATTTCTGTCTCTCTCAATTAAAAACCTCACCTCCCTTTTTAATAATCAAACCACTGGCTATATTTTCTTTCAAACAAATTTAATAACTAAACGCCAACCATTTAATCGTTGATTACTATGACCAGATTAATGTCGTGAAACAGTGACACCAATTACGGTTCTGTATAAAATATTATATTAATTTATTCTTGGTACTGTTACAGCGAAGGTGCTTGACAGACTGCTTGATGGAGAATTAAATAGATATCTTGTGTTGCACGATCAGTTTGGTTTTAGATATGGGTTATCCACAGAAAGTGCCATTCCAAGTCTCAAGCAGTATGTCAGGTACTATTCAGACCGAAATACCGGTCTTTGCTTGCCTCCTCTACCTGTCGAGGGCGTTTGATCCGGTGTCCTACGAAATACTGTCCTAATATGTACTGTGGAAAAAACTGGAGGGTATAAACTTGCCTAATGAGCTTATTAACATCATCATTTAGTAGCAGTAGAGCTCCTTGTGAAAATGTTAGTCCAGTGTAGTACTGCCACCTTACCTACTTCTGCCGCCAAGCAGTAATGTCAGCGTTACTGTGTTCCGGTTTTGAACGGTCAGGGTGCTGGTGCAATTATAGGCACATGGGACTTGTCAACTCATGTCTCAGGTTGACTGACGCAGTGGTATTGCCCTCAGATCTTTTCAATTTAAAGCACTGAGTAGCACTGGAACTGTTAAGGACAATCGTGTCGCTCACGTGCAGACTTGGCCTTCCCGTCACTTGATCTTATAAAAAAATAAATCAAGTATTGGTCTGGAAATCAGATCAACAATGTCAGTTGGTCAGGAGCAATATCGAAACCGTACAGGTTGCAATGTGGGGTGAGACGGAGGGCTAACTTGTCGATTTTTATTCAACTTGTATATGAACGAGTTCATGCTGAGATCAGCGGTAGACATGTGTCCTGTCACATCGACGCGGTAGATGTTAACAACCCTAGGTACGCAGACGTCATGGTGCTGCTGAGCGTGTCTGTCTGCGGCCTCAATCACTACTTAGTACTTGTCAATCGTGTGCGGATAAGTATGGGCTAATGTATAACACAAAAAAGAATCAGTACCCCAAAGTCAGTCATAAAAACTTGTTGAACGTTCCACCTATTACATTAAACGCGTATCGTCTCGATAGAGTCGAGCAGTTGAAATATCTCGGTCAGCAGGTCACTGGCGATCTCAAGGACAATGCTGACATAGAGAGGGAGCGGAGGGCTTTATCGGTCAGAGCTAACATGATCGCCCGCAGGTTTTCTCGTAGATCCATTGCACACAACTTACACTTTTCAGGGCTTTTTGTACATCTTACTACACGTAGCCTGTTGGAAAAGTACTCTCAAGGTCGTATGAGGCGACCATGTTCAATACAATATGCGGTTAGGGTGTTGATGGGGTTGCCCCGGTACTGCAGCGCCTCGGTCATGTTCGCAGTGGCGTAAGTCGACTGCTTGTACACAATCATGCGCAAACGCATATCGGCACTCGAGAGCAGGGTACGGGCCAGCTCCAACAACATTCTATCCACGATAGCGGTCAGGTTCGACTGTCGTACATAAACCGCGCTACACTTAGATCACAAGTACTTTTGTTACTAACCATCCGCAGATTTTAGCCAATTCAATTTTAAATTCCTTTTTATTTATTTAAATTTAAACATAATTTATTATATAATATTTAAATATAATGATATAATTTGAAATATGGACTGTATTTGTCTGAAATAAAATATTAAAAAAATTTTTTTTTTTTATTTATGTACATTATGTTTTATATTATATAAGGTAAATAAATGTGGTATAAAACATTTTTCATTATTAACATATTGCTGTGTTCAGTAATTCAGTCGTTATCAACGTAACAGGCGCGACATGCGCCAAGGAATAGCACATTGTTAATATTATAGCCAGCAATAATGGTTTTCACTTTGATAGACCGAGCGTAAAATGTTTGAGCATTATGTCACCACTTATACATATCGCACTGCTATTACAATAGTGTTATAACTCAAAATATGTGAAAATCGAGATTATACCATTATTGAATGTATAATTTGATTCTCTACACATCAATAAAACTGTCTTTGGATATTGTAAAAAACAACTAAAAAATATCTAGTTAACTCAAAATGAATGCTTTATGTGAGATAGTTCTGGCCAAAAGTCCTTATTCAAAAATATTTTAAATTATTTTTTCTTTTTAAATATATTTGGCAAGAAATTGTTTGCAATGAACTATAGCCTATACATACATTTTAATTATTTTTCGCGGGAAACGAGGAATTCGTTTTTCGTCGATTTTGAGAAAATACACTTTTTGAGTTAATAGACTATTGTATTAACAGTGCGATATATATATATATATAGTGCCAAAAGTACTCCAATTGTACAACAAAATTTATCTTTCGCACATTGACCTATCATCAAATTAATTCTGACATAATCGACTAGCGCACTGTCGTCGACCAAACGAAGACAGATGCGCGATTACTCCTCCTTTTGCGATTTGGAAATAAATAAATAAATTTGCTCAGATTTAAAGCGCGGACTCGATGTTCGTTTATTGTTAGGTCAATGCTGTAGTAGTACAAATTTTATAAATAATTTTTAAGAATTTGTTTTCAAAACTTTTAAAATATTAAAAAATAAGTGCGGTCTGCAGTCATGGCTAAGCTATAATTTACAATATGGTGTAATAATAATGAACATCTTTTATATTACTCACTTGTTTAATTAATCATTTGGTCTTGTTATTACAGATTAAGATAATTTTCATGCAATTTATTTTATAATATTCTTAAAATGTCACATAATTAAGTTTTACGTAAGATCGTTTTTGAGATCATTAAAAATTTAATTTTACATTCAGTGATATTTTGAAAACTGGTTCAAATAACTTATTTTAATAAACACAAAATTTTAAAAAATACAAATTATTTTTATTTATTACATACATATTATACATACTCTAGGATTTATTAATTAATATTAGTAACAAGTAAATAGGACCGGCCTCTCAAAAATTTCATTGTATCAGGATTTTCAGAATACATCTGTGGAGTTTCTGTTAGGTGGTACATGAAGTCATAGGCTCAATTTAAATTGTAGAACGGAAGCGAAAGTCGCCGGAATGCTCGAACGTCTTGAGGCTGTAGTAGGCGTATAGTTTATTCAGTGTGGATATTTTACACTACAAGGATTTCGCCTATTTGTGAAACAGAAGAAGAGAAAAGGCAAATTTTTAGAAGCATTAACTTTTTGGAAAACGTGAAACATTTTACAAACATTTATCTTTATCCTCTTAGAATAATAATGCATAGAATGATAGTTTCATATCAAACGAACTGTCACAAGTGAGGCAAAAATCAAATTCAAACGTAGGTTAATTTTCGGTTTTAGTGAATATTTATATAAAAATACAACTTGAAACGCGTTATTTCCTTGTGGAATGTGATGTTAGTATCTATTTTATGTTTGTCTGACGTATTTTTACACTCAGTTACCGCACATTTCGTCATTTTTAGCTAAAATTCTTGATCTGTTCGCGGTGCAAGTTGACCTTGAGCACTGGAGGCCCGCCCGCTCGTGTAGGCCCTTTGCGCGCGCTTCAATTTGCCTCACTTAGTGTGTGCGGACTATTTAGTATATAGTATATAGTTATTATTCTAAGTTTATCCTACTAATTTTTATTATTAAATAAATGTACTATGAAAAGTTGGTGTATATTACAGCCACAAACAATTTAGAATTTTGGTCGCTGTAGTTTTAAGTTTTCACTTTATACAAACATACGTATTTATGCACCACATAGATCTACTATTCATCTGAATCCATGTTTTTTCTGGCACACGGTACGTACCATAGATATGGATAGATTCCTATATCTATGGTACGTACAAAACCTATTTCGTAGACCTGACGTCGCACTGCAGCTGCGGAATTCCCGCAGAACTGCGTAATGCTCGCGACCTGTTTTTTGATTCGTGTCTAGTTTATACATTACATATTGAACATACATTTAATGAAATAATAAAGCATAATGCATAATAAAGCATAATGATGCTATGTACAATATCGTTATAAAAATTCGCTTCCATTACGTTGCAATGTAAATTGAGCATTAAGCAGAATGTGTGAGATCTTAAACAGAGAACTTTTAAAACAACTTCTGCTATAAATTAAAAATAGGAACAAGTGACTGTGTTTGGGCAGAAAAATAAAATTTTATTATTACTGTATTCATTATTCAGAGGTAGATGCGCAGTGCAAGAGGAATGACAGTTTACGTAACAGTTATGTCGCGCTACACACGAGATAATTTCAACAAGATTTTTCTGACGATATTCAATAGCAAGTTGATTGACAAAAGTGCCTACAGTCTTAGCCAATTGTTGTTGTGTGAAACGATAATAAAAAAACTATAGCACTGATAATTGAAATGAATAGACAAGTCATGTGGCACTTTTATCAATCAATTTGTTATTGAAAATCGACAGAAAAATCTTGTTCCAATTATCTCGTGTGCAGCTCTGTAACTGGGGGTCTACTCCTTAGAAGATGGAAAAACGTCTACTCCTGTTCTTCGGCCGACATTCCCTATTACTATCAAATAAGTAAAACTCGACCAAAACAAAAGACAATTGTCAAGTAAAAAGCATGCGTCTTATAATCTGGTCGAATATTACCAATTTGAGACTAATTGTTTCGGACGAACAACGAGTAGACCCTCTGTTAAGTAAACTGTACTCCTCCCCATTGAGTATATAACCAAAGCTAGTAACCGAGTAACCGGCTCAGTCAAGCGATAGGTCTGTAGTTTTAGAACAAAACATCGCCTTACTTTATCAAATTCGCATCATACAGCACAAAGTTACTGAAATGCAAAAAATGGATTGTATATACAAATTTTGCAAGCTGATTTGACATCACATTTCTTTCATATTCAAAGACTGGCTTTTACCTATTCTTAAAGTAATACATCCAAATTAACACCCTTGATAAGAAATTTAAAATAAATGGAAAGTTTTCCCATCTCCTGAATAAACTCTTTATGAGATACGAGTTTGAGAAAGTAAGGTATCGAGAAGTTGATTATATTAAACGTTTCTTACCTACCACCTCATTTAATATTGGTGACAATCTTCATGCGTTGTTTGAAACTGATAATTTGGCAATGTCAATAAATATTTTAATATTGTCATACTGAGATTTATTTTATCAGAAAATTCAATACAAATAACTAGACACTTAACAATAATACGTACATAAATTACTTATACTCCTTCGGCTTGACAAACAAACGTAAAATACTATCAGTCTTTATAATATGAGAAGAGCGGAGTAGGAACATTAGATACTTTCCATTGGCACGGATGACCAGCGAGTTTGTGGAGGGCTTTCTGTAAACAAATGTTTTTTTTAAATAATATAATAATAACGCACACACACTCTTAACCCCGCACTAGGGAAACCCTGTATCCCGAGTGCCATGAACACACATAGACACCACAAACTACACCCAAAGAAATAAATGTGGGCTTATACAAATGTTTCTCCCGGCCCAGGAATGGAACCCGGGATCTCTGCGTGGCAGACCAGCGCATTAACCGTTCGACCGTGAAGGCAGTTGATTATATAAGACTCGATGGTTTGCACTATTGGGCGCTGGATAAGTAGGTCGCGTGTCCGATTCGTATTGGTTATATATAGTTGGTAGTGCCCCGCATTACTTCTGTTGCTCTGGTACTCATAGTCCAAGGAATTCTCTAGTTTGAGACCACGTAATTGGCATGGTTGTCCACATTATTAAAGCATATTATTAAAGATAAGATAGAAACAGAAACAATTTATAAATAATATTTGTTGAAATTACAGGCATATTATGACATTTTGTTTGTCCACTTATTCTCGGGTGACGGGCGCAGTGGCAGTGCCCTTTGGCTTTTGTGGTTTAGCGTGAGATTACCACTTTACATCCTCTAAGGCAGGGTTCCTCGATCTCTTTCTAGTCTGGGACCCCTTTCAAAATGTCAAAGAACCCATGAACCATTCCGAAAAGACAAAAAAGTAGGTTTAGCTTAAATTGTTTTTACGTATGAATGTTAGTGTGACCGTTGCTGCTCCATTATGTTGGGTAAACTCGCCACGTACCCCTGGATGACGTTCATTACACGGACTCCGTAGGAGTCCTTGGACTACAGGTTAAGAAACCCTGCTCTACTACCAGGCGCACGATTTGTGTCCCGTCACTTGATATCACAAAAAAAAACAGTTTTTCCCGTTGACTCAGTTTAGTCTGCCCAGTATCGAAAAATGCTATATTTTTTTTCGTTTTGTTAAGAACTAACATTTTATTTCATGTTTAGATACATGATATTATTTTTATATTTGTAATATGGTCGAGTCTTATTGCCTGTTTTAACGACTTCAAAGAAAAGGAGGTTCTCAATTTGACTGTATTTTTTTGTATGTAGGTATGTTACGCGATAATTTGTGAACGGATTTTGATTATTATTTTTTGTTGGAAAGAGGGTACCTCAGTATTGGTCTCATTTAAATTTAAAGGAAATATTCCACCTCTATGGGTGGCAAACTAGGGGATAAATCCGGTTTTATTCTATTTCAATAAAACTTGGTAAATAGATGTAATTCCTCCAACTTTGGAGGTCGGTTTTTTTATTACAACGTTATAATTATTTTATGATTGTCAGTGCGTATTTGATCTCCAAATCCCCTGACGGAAAGTGACGATGGGATCGACGATGGAGCATGCACATCTAATTGCCTATTCACTCTCGCCTTGAATAGGCCCAAGTTATAGCGTTCATGGTACCTCGTACCAATATGTTCACACATATCAACAAACTGTGACAATGTAATCTGGCAACTAGATAATGAGAACAAGTTGTAGCCTGATATTAACGCCGACAACAAAAGAACAATCCCTTGGGGGCTCTGGAAAAGATTTAAATTACTTTTATCACAACAAAGAGGCATCGCCACTCAATTAAATGTTTGTGTCGCGACCTGTGATAAAGTTATTATTGTGACATAAATATAGCAGCGGGTGTGTTGAACGAGGTGCGGAATAATTCGTGAGCGGTTGCCTGTCTGTAGACGGTATTTTGAACTAGCGCTAATAAATAGTTAAATGTTAATAAATAAAGTAAAATTCTTGTGTTTACAAGCGAAAAAAGAAACGGCCTAGTTTCCGTGGTGATTGGAAAGTGCCACAAAAACACAACGTAGACATTGAGACGACACAAACAAGGGGCCATCGACCCTGACCGAAGCAGAGCAGTGTTCCTTGATAACGTTCGCTAAATTTTGCCCAGCGACACCACCGGCCTGTCCGCTTGACGATGTCCAGCTATATTTATAATTGCAGCCCTCGCCACGCGGTGATAGCGAGTCAAGGAAAATACAATTATTGTAGGAGTATATAAATATGCTTACATGTTGACCAAGGCAGTGTTTATAACTAACTATATTTTATATTCCTTAACAATCAACGTTTTGTGACTTATCTACAGAAATCTGTTTACTCGTCGGATTTCGGTAGTCGGTATGTTTTGTTTACTCGAACCACTGTGCACATGTTATTGTAAATTATCAAGGTCCGCACAGTTGGCGCTAGGGCTTCGTAGTCAACGACCTAATAGTGCATTGCTCGTCGATATATTTGCGTAGATATAGCATGTTGTAGGTTTTTATCTGTTTCATTAATGGATTGACGTCCGGCAATAAATCAACTTGTTTTCTTCCACGACGAACGGTCGCTCTGTCTACGACACAGTGTTTGTACTGTTCACTTCGAGATGGCAATAAATAAGATCATAAATCAATAGACATCGATGGGCCGTCTTGTTACTGGGCAGATATAAGTAATTTACTCTAACTCGGGAGACTATTTTGTTTAAATTACCACCAGATTCAGACTAGCAGATTATATCTCATTCTGTTTGTTTTGCGTGTAGAATTAATTTCGAATTTAGAAGGGTTCCAGTGACAGACTGTCAGAGTATCTAGAGAAATAACTTTCTAATTTGTGGAGAAAACGAGAATTCTGTGAGATAAAGTTCTGTGCTTTTCTGTTTAAGTCAGACTATTTTCGTGCAACTTATACGCGCATGCTACATATTGTCATATGGTGCTCGGACCGCCGTTGAGAAAGGCACGTCTTTTCCGTTATTATATGGAGACAACGGTTTAATGTGATTCCTTATCGATGAGTGCGGTGACTCCCTTACCTAATCCACATTCGGTTGATCAGTAACAATAACATAAGAATAGTAACATAGAAGATATTGTAAAGTTGGTTTTCCACCGGCATGGCGAGACGAAACGAGGAGGGACGAGAATTGCAATCTCGCCGATCTATTTTCCACCAAAAATTGCCATTAATAGCTAGCTCGCGCTGTGATTGTGGATAGTGAAGATTCAGTGCTGTACAGTTCATCAAGCGATAAATACGCGGCTGAAGTAACATGTCCCGTAAACTATTATTAAATATGTTAACGGAAGAAGAATCAGATGAAACCTTCTTTTTTTAAATCTCATCGTACGTACCCCACAATTACCCCACTATTCATATCATTCTCACGATTGATGATCTCGCGAGTGCCCGCGCGAGCGCGCGAGAAATCTTGTTTCCGTTGCAGATTATAATACTTTATGTAGGCAGCAAAACGGTTAAATATCACATCAACAAATATTTCAATTCTCGTTTCGCCCATACTCGTCAATCCCGACCATTTCCACCAAAGATGTGCGCGAAATTTTGCTATAGAAATTTCAATTCTCATCTCGCCTCGTCTCGCCTCGCCTGTGGAAAGCCACCTTAATACTGTGTAGTTAATACTCACTCAACCAAAAACCTGTTGTGCAGCGTATGTGATGTGTAGGTATCCGTCGGGTCCGCGGAACTGTTCGTACGCTTGGGCCATCGTCAGACTGTGGCTCACCAGTACCTTGTCGTTTACTAGCAGGTACAGCGACTGATCATACAAAAGTATTTTTTATTATTCTAATATTTCGGCAGTCCGAATCACCGTTTAGACCGTTTCTATAACAATCCTATTACCTGATGATGTCACAAGTGAATTAAAAGAAGTAGCATTAATAAATAACAATCAAATAAATATTAGACAACATCACATACGTTGCTCTGACCCCATAGTAAGTAAAGTAAAGCACTTGTGTTATGGAAATCGGCAACAACGACTGTACCACAAACACTCAGACCCGAGATATTGCAGAAAAGTTAGGTTTTCTACATTAAATTGAACCCGGGGCCGCAGAGATAGCGACACCATGAAAACCGGTGTGCGTCATATAGTTGCAGTCAGTTTTCATTTCAAATACAAAAATACTCATATACTAAACTATTTTGTCGTAGGTAACTCACTTGTGTGTCCCTTAACTTCAGTTTTGTGCTGATGATGTAGAGGAACTGCGACATGGTGAGCTCTTGTGGAACTAGGAATTTGTTTCGTCCAAGTGCAGGCACTTCGCGCTCTCTCTCGTACCGCGAAACATAAAGCTGAAATAACTTATTATATTAGCCGTTGAGGATTATTGAGAAATTGGGGTAGCGGTAGTCCCATATTCACCCAAATGCAGCGTACGCGCAAATGTTTTTTTTATGATACCAAGTGGCAGGACGAACAAGTGCGGCTGGTGTTAAGCGACACACCTGTCCTTAGCAGTTGCAGTGCCACTCAGAGCTTTAAATCGCACAGATCTGAGACATAAGTTGACAAGTCCCATAGGCAGAAGTCAGTACCAGTCCTTTTCAGCACTGATCATATACTGGTAGGACATGTCTATATTTTATGTGATTTTATACATAAAATGTACGAAAGTGATTTAGGAAGATTATTGTTATACGATGCGGTGCAGTGCGGCTCGCCATAATGTGCGTGAGCCTTTACAATATTTAGGTACTTTGAGTTATTTCTTGTTAAAAGTCATTGAATTTTTTGTCACGATTAGCCGCCCTAGGCCCGGGCCCACTGGGCAAATCCGCCACTGCCCATATGCCCGTCATGTCCACCAGTACTCTTACCTGTCAAAACCGGTTTTGGCATTAGCTCACATTACTGTTTGACGGCAGAAATAGGTAAGGTTGTACATAGATACTTGAATAAAATATATTTATTCTGAAGATCGAATCGGATTATGAGGAGCAAAGGTTTCATAAAAAGGACCTTTTGAAATTCAAAATATCCTAGTATTAGTTCGACAATTGAGGGTAATAATGGCAATTGGTACGGCGCCAGGCAAATTTCAATACTGTATTTATAAAGTTGATTTATTATTGACTTCAACTACGAAAGAAATATGTGGTCTGTGACTTCAACCAAAAATCCATTTGTCATCTAATTAAAGTTGTCAGATAAATTATCTAACATGTTGCGATAGTAAATACTTTATGTAGAAACCAGATTCTGTACAGTAGGTACGCACAAAGATAACGACTGCTGAATACATTATTTAGGCTTTCAATTTACAAGTCGGTGCAATCTTCAAGGCGGCGCCTTGGTTTATAGTGAGAACAGATTACACTGGTGCTACTTATAAATAAAAACAGACTAGTAAAACGCTGACAGTTAAGTATGTAAACATATATGTCTAATTAAAGTGGTTACTTAATAACTCTCTAATAATCTAGAATATTCTAGTGAAGACCGGTGTAACTGCTTACTTATATAAGTAGATATAATTAAGGCAAAGAACATGTAATACTATGTAGGGACTTAGATAATGTCCCTACACTTCTTGCGCTTTAGGACAGATATTTGATTGTTAAGATTCTTACTACTAGTCCATTCTAGAAATTAAAAAAGAAAAAACTATAGGTAAGGTTCACCTTCCTAAATTAGGAAGGAATTAGGAAGGAATGGAATTTCCATTTCCAAATTTCCTTTTTATTTTATAAGTTTCTCCGTTTTATAGACAAAAGTGAATATCGTGTAATCATATTTCTTCAATACTTTATTTTTCTGACATTTATACGCGAGAAATCGTTGTATTTTTACGGTGGCCTTTTTGAAAACTCCCTTTTTGGAGTTAATTAAATTACGTTTGTCTTTTTTTTCTTTTTGCTATTAGCGTTTTAGCTAAGATCCGTCAGTGTGACTAAAGATTTCCATCCTCTAAGGCCTAAGGAGAAATTTTTCTACTATTACCTAACCCCGAAAAGCCAAGAACAAAAAAAAATTTAAAACGTATGAAGATCTAGAGACAGAAGAGATTTCTACAATATTCACATAGGTAAGTATTGTATGAGTAGGTATTGGTACTTACAGGTATTTTGTTTGGGAATCTATGTCTGATGGCTTCGACTTCTTGGGCCGACCCTATATCTGTAAAGAGGGGACTATGTTTATTTTCACAAAGTCGCTAACCGATGCTAACTAGATATAACGAAAGGAATGTCGTGTTGGGCGTAAGGGTAGGCGATAACTCGCAGTTTTCTCATTGCGGTCAAATGGTACAGGTCGCGGTAAGTAACTTGACATACTTCAGAGACAAGTGATGTAAATTGTCTTGCGGTTTAATGTATGTGATAAGCTGACAGTTTTTCATGGTGACGAGCAAACTCATTCACGCTAGTTTACAGAATATTTGATGTCGCTGTTCCAGTACACGCCACTTAATTTAAATCTTAAGTGTTCTACTTTCTAGATGTATCTGTATTAACGGTGTAAAGTGCCTACTCCTACTGGGTTAGTATTTATTTATTTTAAGGGATGTGGGAATCTTTGTACTTGTATGTAAGCTACCTAAGTAAATAAAGTGGTGATACACTTAGTGTTAGGTCATGGAAAAATTTCCATTTTGAAAAATTCATACACTTCAGAAAATAAAATATTTTGCCACATGTGACATTTGACACATTTGTGTAAAATTGAAAATACTGAATGAAAACGACGGAGCCATTATAAAAACGCTTTACTACCCGATTTAAAGGGACCCTAACTCTAGCTTAAGAAGGTGTACTAAGGGAAGGTAGTCAGGGTCCCTAATTTGAGCTCTTATATGTATAAGTTAATAAACCTGGACCACGCCCACCCGTGAAGCAGAGCCCTTGAAACCGGGTGGTGTTAGCTTTAAATCTTTTTTGCCTATTATTATTTTATTCGCTGTTGTCCAATCAGTTTAAACCTCGTTTTACTCTAACTTGCTTTTAGCTATACAATTTTATTTTATACTTCACGCTAAATAAAACTTCTAAATATATAATTAAACGTAGAACATATAATATGAGCCTTCGAATTATATTTGGCCAATTTTTATGAAAATTTTCCGGAAAAATTTCCACTATTAAAATTTTTTTCGGAAAATTACCCAACAGTAAATACACCTGGCCATTTGACTAGGGAGCTGCACTCACCATCATGGTATCCAAAGGAGTCCTGGGATGCGTATGTGATGTAGAGAAAGCCGTCCAAATCGCTGAAGTGCTCGTAAGCCTCTGCCATCGTCAGAGTTAAACTCAAAATGGAAGTGTTGTTAATTATCAGAAATAGCGACTGCGAAAATACCACAATGGATTAATTACATAAGTATACAAATCAAATACGTATAAGAGCGATCTCGGGATCGGAATAATAAAGCTATCTTGATTTGCCACGACTAAAGTAAATAAATATACTTACTTGAGTAGGACTCAGTTTGATTCTATTTCGAATAATGACTAGGAATTGTGACATCGTTATGTAATCTGGTACAAGAAATTTGTTTTTTTCCAACTGCGGTAGAGTCTTCTCCCTATGGTACCTTTCCACCTTCAACTGAAAACAATCGGTTCAACCTTATATTCCATAATTGGTGACTTTGTAAGTAGCGTTTATTGCATTTTGGTAAGAGCATGATCCATACTAAGTAAGTCCACAGGTCCTTAATTCCCTCAATTTCGAACACTGGTTATTAGCTATCTACATAAAGATCAAGCGAAGGCGTCATAGATGCATGTTTAATTCATCTATAGTACTTATATAAAGTACTTACGTAGACATATTTTAACTGATATATAGGTATATATATATATATATATATATATTAATTTGTATATTTGTACATATATATATATTAATTTAAAGGCACACGCAAAAAATTAACATATACCTATCACGTGCTGAGAACATACGATATATTCAAGTGAGTAGGTTTTTAGCAATATTTAGGAAATATGGTTTTCTGTTGTTCTTGTAACAAACTCACCGGTATCTTATTTGGGTATTTTGATCTAATTGCCATTACTTCTTGTTTTCTACTATCTGCAAGAAAATAAATAATTTACAATATAAGTTGCATATTTAACGCCCATTACCGGCACGGATCTACGCAAAGAGGCGACCATGCACCGTTTAACAAGGATATTTTTTTATTTTTCGCGTAACTTCATTTTTTTTTATTTATTTTTTAATAATAACGCACACACTCAACATAGCCCCGCACTAGGGAAACCCTGTGTCGCGGGTGCTATGGACACACACATAGACAACCACAAATTACACCCAAACTCACGAGAGAAATAAATGTAGGCCATATAAATATTTCTCCCGGCACGGGAATCAAACCTGGGACCTCTGCGTGGCAGTCCGGCATGGTAACCGTTTGGCCACGGAGGCAGTCAAATATATGTTATTTAATTTTTCAAATAATAAAACTGTAGTCCGTGTCCAGTCACTTTACATGTTTCTTTGAACCTTCCCCAACAGTTAGAGATATATTTAACTACAATAATAAGAACGCACACAGGCATAGCCACGCACTAGGGAAACCCTATGTTGCGGTTGCCATAGATACACACATACATAACCACAAATTATCTACACCTAAACTCACGAGATAAATAAATTTAGGCCATACAAATATTTCTCCCGGCCCGGGAAACGAACTCTTTATTGCAGGCCTGCATGGTAACCGTTCGGCCACAGAGGCAGTTATTAAATAAGGCATAACTACAGTATTATTACAGTAAGTACATATAAGCATCTGCGAGATGTCACGTCGGCCATCAATTTGGAAAGATATAATTAATACAAATTATATCTCTGCAATACCGATAACACTATTTACTTGGAGTACTAGTAGTAGCAATAGATTAGAAGCGACTACATAATAATATGCTCAGGTTACAATATATTGTACATTATTTGTCTCGCGATTTAGTAACTTAGAACGTACCTACTCATGCACTTACCGGCTACATAACACACGAATTTAAAACGTCTGACACTTTCGAAGACTGTTTCTGGAAATATTTAAGAACTAGAGAAAATATATTAATAGATTTAGACGTTACTTTGCGGAAAACCATATTAATAAAATATAAATAAATCAACTTGCCACAACTAACTTTATCTTTTTACCTCAATTTTTATTAGAAAAACGGATAAAAGTTAATCTCATTTTAATATGAAGAAACTGAAAAAGTTGATGGCAACTGGCTGTTTTCATCTTTACATACCTACAACGTGTAATCAATCATACGTGGTGAACTACCTACACCTACAATAAATTTATTACAGCCCAATAATAAAACACAAGTTGAATTTACTTAAAAAACTCATCATCAGTCAACGCCATGAATTTCTAAATATCACATAATGGGCAGTGCAAATCTTATTCTAAACGCACAGCAAATCAACTTTGTAGGTACTTAATTAACTAATGTACATGATTGAAAAAAAAAATGAAAAAACACACAGGATGGAAAGTAGTTACTTAATTAAATAAATACTTACTAAAACTCTTTTTCTCTTCGATAAACTCCTTAAGATTGTGGTTGACATCATGTTTCAAAAAATATTGAATTTTACTCGGTTTCATGTCGTACTTTCTTCTTGATTCACGGCTATGAACGTACACAAGTTTATTAATGCGACAATGAGAAATGGTGTGTCGCTAATGCTGTTCAAAGCTCAACTGCGCCAAAGTAAATATATTTGCTGCTTTTATCATTCTCATAAGTCGATATCTCGCGACGGTCCCGGAGTCTCATGTATTTCAATTTTACGAATGATTAAATAAATGTTAAAAATTTGTTAAGTAGACTTTTGTGCGGACAGTTGAAACGTTTTTATCACCAAAATGTGGGTAGTTATATATAATTGGTAAAATTCTGTATTGACCTACATAAAAAGTAGTCGCAGTGGGCGAAAATTCGGATTTAATTTTGTATGAAAAACAACCGTGACTATCAGCTTTAACGCGTTAATATAACGCTCAAATTTGATATTTAAATAATTCTAGACTGATAAGTGGCTGAGTCTTGGCTGAGTGGACCTATTAAATAGCAAGAGATAATAATAATTAACAATTATTTGTAAGCAGTAACAAATTCTGCTACTTCTGTATTAAGTTATTTGTGTGCTTATCGTTTAAATGCACTGGGTAATATTATTCTTCGTATGACAACGGTTCTCATTTCCTTTATTTATCATGTATTTATTGAATGGCGATACCGACAATGTGTTATCAGTTCATACGCGGCGTATCTAATTTATTAATTACTTGTTTACCACCGACGTTGCATTAAAAATTAAACCTGGTATTATTGCAAGATCTACGTAAGTCAATGGAGATTTATCATTATTAATCTAAGGCATTATTTTACTGTTACCTACAAATATATAAAATTTATATTATTCTATGAAGATGTAACCAAAAAACATTATAAATTAATAATTATTCAAGTTTGCCGCCTTAATTATCGTGAACGCACATATAGATAATATGTCCAGTTCCGTGAACGCAACATGCATTTGACATTTTGAGTATGACGCTCTGTTTTGCACAGTTGAATTTTTTTCTTGACCGTTTATATCACAATTTAGCAGAAGTTATTGGAAAAGCATACAATCGATTAAATATTCCTATAATACATACATTGATACATGTATTCAATGTATAAAACAAATGGTTATGCTCATCTCAAAAAGAGATTCGTCTCTTGATTCTTGTTGGTTGTACGAACTCAAAGGTTAATGCATGTAACCTAAAATGGAACGTTAGCTATTGAAATCTCCAGAATACGAAAGATCGAATTTATTGGATTCTGGAGAAAATTTTGAAGGAAAACCTATGTAAAAGTCGTAGTTTCTTTATCTTTATATTTTAAGATTATGTAGTACTTTTAGAAATATCTTATCCGTTCTAGAGTCTTTGTTATACTGGCGGAATCAGGCGGAGTATACAAGTGCGAATATGAACTTTAGAATCGATAACCCAGTATTTAGTTAGGTAGCGTGGTAAGTGGTTGAGTAGTGTATTCAAGATGCTGTTCACGCCGATATACATCGCCATGACGTTCATCAAGACTTGGCGTGTCAGGTCGTTCCGCTCGCGCCTTCTCGAGTTCCTAAGCGGGAACACCAGCGTAGCCTTCTGCAAAGTGCCCGAAAACGCTGCAGGTGAGAAAAATTACCAAAAATAATTAAATTACCTAACAATATTTATTATGTATATCGTGACAGGGTTCTTTTTGTTTGTATTTTTATTTTCTTGTCTAAGAAAATCACAACAGTGGAAACAAAAAATAAATGTGAAGTTGCACAGCCCTCTAAACTTCGAGCGACCCGTTTTATGAACATGCAGAGTCTTATCTGTCCTTCAACTTAAAATATTGAATAACTTTCAGAAACTCCAACACTAAGTTCGAAGCTATGCACCAATCCAAAAAATGCATATTTATGTGATCTCCTGGACTACACCAATGCTACGAGGATTTGCAGTATGAAGCCAACTCAGTGCATAGAGATCAGTGATTGGGTGTCATGTTCGGGCGGGCTACCTCTGGGGTCCAGCGACCTTTCCCCAGTAACTGATCTTGATGTAGAAGTACTGTTCGAATGTGAAATGGACCCCCATGAAGGAAGCTCTAATCAGGATGTCATCAATGTAAATAAAATTTTTAAAAGTTATCAGATATTTATGGAAAATGTGAAATTTTTTATTTTAAACAATTTGTCTTTGGTGTCATGCTATCTATGAATATAAATACTGACAGTCAAACTATTTTTCAGTTGGAAACAGTAGGACAACTTGTGGCTTGGAAAGCTGGTTCACACTTAGCTATTGTGCTGAAGACAAACATTGAAAGTCTAAGCATGATTGGCTTTAATTTCGTTGGTGGAGAATTCGTCATTGATCACAAGTTACCCGTTGTTAGGATACAAAGTGAGGTTTAAATTTATATTTATTTATTTAACCAAGTTACTCAAATCTATGTTAAATGTCAAAAATAAACACGAGTATTCCTTTACGTTGGCTTATAGACTCTGCGTTTGATTGTTCACATTAGGATAATGATAGGGTGATAGATATGATAACTCGGAATGTTGCCTTAAAACATGACTATAAAGTGTTGAGTGTGTGCATTATTATTATTATAACAGTACTAAATGTCATGTTTCAGTTTTATATCATTGATTTTTTATAGTTTAAAAATAACCATCAACTTTATTTTAGCTGTACAACTGTCTGGTGAACCAAATAAAGCAACTGATCCATCAATGAGAAGTCTGCGCAGTGACATTCAGCATGCTCTCAAGTCTGCTCCAGCTCAATTCCAATGGCCAGTTCATGCTGCATTGCTCAGGAAACTATCCAAGGTCGTAGACATCAAGTCGGAGTCCAAAAGCTCTGTACTGGAAATGAATGGTAAAAACGAAACGCATTTAGACACAAAAAGAAATGTCACATTAGCTGATGTGAGCGTTAACACTGGCAAGTCTCTCAATGCAGATGAAGAGGACCAACAAGAAGCAACCAAAAGCGCAGCAAACACTGTAGAACTACAAATGACCCCAGAAAAACTTACCAAAACACCTGAAAAATCTCCTAATAAAAAGACTGAGGAACCAGATGAAAGTAAACTAGTCCTTGAGAATGTAACTGTTGAAATTCAACATAACATAACACCAAAGAAGTCTAGTTTAAAATTAGATCTAAAGAAAGGCACAAGTCAATTGTCTACATCATTACTTAACATATCTAGTCAAATCAAATCCGTGACTACACATAAAAGAATTGTTAGTACCACTGGGCCAAAGAAAACCCATCCTCAGATAGAGGCTGGACCCCAAATAAAAGAAGAATGCAAAGAATCTACATCTCAACTGGGCACACCAAAGTCTGTCAAAGGTTCCCGTCCACTAGTGAATACTAAGTCACCAAATGTGTTGATATACTCAGATAGTGTAGTGGCTAGAGATAATTTGGAGTCATCTCTTAGAAAAGTTCTGGACTGTGAAAGGTAAGCGAGAACTCTGTGGTCAGTGCACCAAACACATAGTATGTTAGAATTAAAAAATGGAAGTTAATACAAGTTGGAAAAATATTGTGTCAATTTGGGAAACATTAAGCCCAAGTGTGGCTTCAATCCTAAGGCTAGTTCTGAAACTTAATTTATGGTAATTTTTATCTGGGGTTGCCCCAATAAAAGTTTTTGTATATCAGCTAAAATATCTGTAGGTTTAAAAGAAATTCTTATTGCACCACAGGACACATAATGTGTCTTTAGTTTATTATATACACTCATAAGCTACAAAATTCTATTTATTTCAGATACACACTATACAGTGTGTCGCGCGAAGCACTGGAGGCAGGAGCGTGGCGCGGACGTGCGGCGTTGGTGGCAGTGGCAGGATGTGTGGGCAGATGCGCGCCGTTGCTACTCGCACATTTGCTTGACGGTGGACGGTTGCTCGCACTTTGCTCAGATCTTCTGCACACTGTGCTACCATACTATAAGACTGCTGAGGTAATGCAACTGGAAGTAATTGTATGAAGTTTATTTTGTAGGACCAGTCAAAATAAACTTTTGTGGTTACATGAAAGATAATTGGAACATTTTTGTTCCATACTGTAAACTGCAGGAAACAGGAAACAGTGTAGAATGTTTAGTTACCTATTTATACAGGCTGTATATTTGAAAGTGGGACATACTTATAGAGTGCGTTATATTCCTGATTCTCAACCCAAAGAAATAATAAACGAATGAACTTAAACTTTACAAAAAATATTTTTTAATTTTTTTTTATCGACTACTACTTGAGCACAACATTAGTTATCGAAATCTATCCACATCACTATTATTGCTCCGACGCAGCGGCGAAAAGCAAAGCACAGGTCGGGGGTGAGGACGCGGGCGCATACGCGAAATTGCTCAGTCCACGCGCGACCTTGATCTAACGAAGACACGTAAATTATTTGTCCTTCCGCTCGCCCGATCGCCGCAAAATGGGTATTTATTCTAACGTGGAATTGACTGAGATGGTGCGACTTTACGCAATAAGTGGTGATAGTGTGAGGCAAGCTATTGAAATGTTCCCAAATCGGAGTTTACGCGGAGGAGGTGAACAGTGTCGATGCGTTGCGTGAGAGGATTATCTCAGCATTTTATACTGTGAGACAAAATGTGTTTGTGTTGTACAATTTAAAACAAAATTTACTATGCCGTGCTAGACTATGCATTGTGGAAAACGGTGGACATTTTGAACACTTGCTCCGTACCACGTAAGTGTAAATAAACTGTAAATAACTAAAAAATCAATCATTTTTTTTATCAATCAATTAACATAAGCTAAAACGTAAATGTGAAATCATTGTTATTGTTGCTGTCTCACTCGGCCCTCGCTTGGTAGCATTCCCATTGCACTCGAAATCAAGCGTAAAGGGAATCGGTTTATTCGTATCTACACTTCAAAACACATTTGTTGATTTATTTTTTGTTCTATCCCATATCCTAATTTTATTTTAGTCTATGTTAAGTTGTAACATGATTTACTATGACATGTATGAATATGTCTCACTTTCAAATATACAGCCTGTATATAGATCTAGAGCAATTTTTACAAGCAATGTAATTAGGTCACAAAAACTTGAAGAGTAGGATTGTATTGTACTCATGGAAATTGCAATTATAATAAACCCAAGAAGAACTAGATTACGCGGGCTATAACAGGCATAACTGGATCTTTAACAGACTTATATGAATCTTCAAACTATTGATTTATCTAATTTACTATCAATCAGGTTCGTGAAAACGAAGTGGTTCAATTCACATTCGATAAGTGGAAATCTGTAAAAATGAAGCATCACATCTTCTGCTACCAAGCTTCACCGGCCAAGAAGCAATTCTCGACTGAAAGCGAAAGACAGTAAGTTTGTTTTTTTTTGTAAATATTTAGCTTCACATAACTCAATACTAAGGGACATTTCAGAAATCAATAAGTAATAAATTTATATGCTTAATATCAATGATCTTATATATCTTAATATAAAATAATTCAATTTTAATAAAAGTATAAGTGTAATTAGTATGTTATAAAGACCTTTTCTGGATAAGACTGTAGTTAGAGTTAATTTGGAACGTATCTCTTCGATATTTTAGTTATATTCTTAAAGTCGAGTTAAAGGCTTTTTGTTGGTAAAAATAATAGTTTACTACATCATTTCGAAACACACTTCGTTTAATTACACTTCATCTACGACGATTTGTCAACTATTCCTTCAATTTGTATTTCAATCATCGAAATACTTTTGTTTAATGCTACATCACATCGAAACACTATTAGGCATTACTTTTCACGTAAAAGTAAATTGTTGAAGCGCCATAGATCTAATTTTATTTCATCGAATGCGTGTTAGAACTAAACTATACATTCGAGCTTTTGTTGATATTTGCTATGTTATTTGATATTTTCACGTGCTGCCTGTGAAAAGATCTTCAAAGAAACGTTATCCGATTAATTAAGGCGAGCCATTTGAACATGAGCGTAGATTTTAGGTAAGGTGTGGAAATTAATACGATTAAATAAGAATAGGCGGAGAAAAATTGACACAAATCCAACGTTGACCAACGCTCGGTGGCGACTGACTGGGGAATTTTTAAGATTTGACATAAATGTGAATTTAATAACTACGGGACTTCAGTTGAAAACCAAAATGTAGCAGTTTTTCTGTGTACTACTTAAAGAGAAATATCTCTACACCACCACAGCACATAAAAATTATGAACAAATTGATATTTTATTTTTAAATAATTTGTTTTAGACTTTTACTTTAGCCTGTTTTCGTAATTGTATATGATCGGGTAACGTACATCCTATTGTGTAACAAATTACTACATTCTTCGTCTTCTTGGGGTACCACCTCCTACCGGAGGTCAGCTATATATAATTGTGACAATTTGGGTCCGCGAAGTTGCGTGAATTCTTTAGACAATATCCTTAAGTGTATCGTATATTTTTTTTGTAAATACCTATGAAATTATATATTAAACATTTGATCTAGAAAAACGGTTATCCCGCTTCGCCGTAATGTTTACATAACAAAAGCAATAAATTTAACGGTATTAGGAGAAATTAACTAAACGGCCCACTTGTTCGTCCTGTCACTTGATATCGTAAATAAAAGTGTAATTTGAAGTTTGCAACTTTGACCTACAAAGGTCAGTGGTTCGCAATGTGGTAGTGAATTTAATAAAAAGTTCCATTGATTTGTTTGCTCCTGGCATGAACCGGTAATCAAGGTTACCCATAAACGTTATTAATATGTGGTTCATCCACTTTTTCCCCCTATTTTTTATTGTATTATAAGCGTGTACATGATAACTGTACTTAATATTTTCAATCAATTTTGCAGAGCAAGTCAGGACGCAAATATGTGTCGGTACGCAAAATAATTTTATAACTTTTTAAAAAGAAAGCGACTTCAATAAAAACTACATGTATTGGCAGAATGCAAAAAACTATTTACATATAATAATATGTGTTCAAAATTGGGCTTCATTCATCAGTCATTTTCAGAAGTGTACCGAGTTGATAAACCAATTATATCTTAGAATATTTGGACAAACATTTTAGCATATTGGAGCAGTTTTCAGTAATAGAGGGACTTCTGATGTTGATAAGTAAAGCTATTATTCAAAATTTTCTTTAAACACAAAGCCTAAAACAAAGGCTTTAAATTTGAAGTCGCTTAGCAAAATATTTCATATTTCTAATTTTAAACAAAGTAATTGTATGTATTTTTGTTTCAAGTTTAAGAAAAACGCTTTTAATACCTGTTAAAAAGGTAATAAAAGCTTTTTTTATACTTTAGTGCTTGTTTAAAATTTTCAAGCAAAACGTTACAAATTCATATTGAAACATTTTGTAAAGAGCTTGCTTTTACTTGGGCAGTTCGCCACTCTTGTTGACACTCAAAGAGCGAAAAAGACTTTATGCGTTTCGCGTCTGTGGTCATAGCGGAAGCGAAATGCATGTCTTTTTCGCTCTTATTGCATGGACGTAACGTTTATTCTATCTGGCTCAAGCCGATTCAAGTCAATAAATATGGTAACTCCCTTAATATCATTCTTCTATGTTATAATTTTGCTTGTATGCACTCTTGTTATGCCTCATTTCAGTATGAATTTTGCTCTTAGTTTTTGTAAATAAAGTTACAACGTCAACTGATGATGTGATATTTAATGACATTTTGATTTTGTTTGTGGATGAATAATTATGCATGATGTAGTCACGACTGCGGTGAGTCGATTGTGTTCGTAATCTACAACACTAAAAGTATAAACCGTTCGAAAATTGACGTTAGGACCTGGCCCTGTACTCTCGTGCTTCGTCTGACATCCCGTCCGAAATAATTAATGCCAAATAAATAATACTCGACCAAGTTAAAAGGTGTATGATGCGAATGAAGCTTCACACTTGACATTGTTTTTTGATTTGGTCGTGTATTACTTGTTTGACACTTATTGTTTTGGGCGGATGTCGGATGGAGTACGAGAGTAGACCCAATGTTGCGAGCTCATTTCTTATTTTTATTTGTTTAATGTAAAGCAATCATCAGCGTATACGCGTGCGACACTTGCATATTTAATGCGGGCTTTAATATATGTATAAGTCGTAACGTTGATTTGTCGAAGAACCCAACATCCTATGAGCTAACACTTTAAGCGTTCAGTAGCGAATGGCTTTTGAATAAAAATTGGCATTAATCGACTCGTAAAATACTTAGGCCATCAAAATACACCGGACACCCGGGACATGAGTTGGCCATCCAAGTCCTGGCGTCAGAGGAGACGTGGCGCACCCCATCCCTGCTCCAAGCCACTGATCTCACCAATAGCGGAATCGCTATTTTCTCTCAAGTAAGTGGAAATTATTATACTTATTTTAGTTTATGCTCTTTTCATTCTTATTTATACTTAACTAAGATAGTATTTTCTAGAACTGAAGCTTCGATGCTAGTTTATCGTAATATCATTATTATTTAATACGAATGTACTATTAAACATGAAAAATTTTTGCGCGCCATATTTTAACTGCAATGTAAAGTTTAACTATGTTGAGATACAAGATTAAAATTCTGATAAGAATACGCTGTAATTTTTATTTTAATTAAAAACGCCATCTGTGGCCCAACGGCTTGCACTGTGGACGAAGTATGAGGAGGTCCCGGGTTAGATACCCGGTATGTGGGTGTTTTGTAAATTCCGATGCTCTAAAACTAGTAATATAGGGAATTCCCAATTTTGAGACAGATTATATCGATGTGGTTGTGTTCTACGCCATCGTTGTTATGTTATTATTACATTATTATGGGATGTGTGGGACACATCCATATCAAAACATCGATCGTACCATCATCGTGGTCATTTGTATATTTTTTTATAACATCAAGTGACGGGACGAACAAGTCGTGCGCCTAATGGTAATCTGCACGCCCGTTCAAGACAATTACAGTGCCACTCAGAGCTTTAAATTGCAAAGATCTAAGGGGCACTGCCACTGCGCCCGTCATCCTGAGACGTAACTTGACAAGTCCCATGTGCCTGTAAAAACCCTTCAAAACCGGGTTTAGTAATAAAACTTATACCTAAACATTTAGGCGTAACGTACCAAATTATACCAAAATTAAAGATTTAACGTATTCAACGGGCCTTAGCAAAGTATACTAGCTCAGTTGCGCTGGATATTTGAATAGACATGCAACAAATCACTAACTGAGTATATAAATCTTGTAATGAGTTGTAATGAATATGACGGAAATACATTGTTAAGTTGTTAGAACGTAAATTCGTAGTAGCGTCATACGAATTTTATTATTTATAGTAAGACGAAACAATCTATTACATATTTACGTTAAAAGCCATTAACATACAGTAATTGAAATACACAAATCATTAATATCGTCTATTTAAAAGTAAAACCACATAAGTTACTTTTTCCACGAAAAGTTTTTAATTTATATAGCTATGATAAGAAAGTCACTATTTTTCTGCACATGAAACTCAATAACAAAAAAGCTATAAACACAATAAGAGTTTTCTCTGCAGAAAAATGGTGATTTTCTTACAACAGGTACATAACATAAGGTTTTATTGTGGAAAATGTCACTTATGTGGTTTTATCTTTATACAGACGATATATCAGTTTTGAAGCTAATTCACTAAAGAATATTATTAATGTTTATTATACAACTTAACGCTATAAAGTTACGCCTGACGGAAAAAACCATTGTAATTGGAACAAATTGAAAATATATAGACGATCAACTCATCCAGTCATGAAACAAGTAGCTGAAAAGCTAACAGCCAAAAGCCAATAAGAATAATTATTTGGCGGTAATTTTTAAAATGTTTTTGAGCTACTTTGTGTTATTCTCAGTTAAATTGTATAGTTTAGGTTGGTTTTTATTAAACATGTACGTATATTTTGCTATTTAGATGTGCTTAGTGAAATTTTTGGAGATTAAATAAAAAATTAACAAATAGTGTCGCCACTCCAATTCGCCATTATTGATGAGGCGGACTCTATCATATGAGTTGATTTCAGTTATTGCCATAATATTATTTCACTAATTTAAATATGTCATAGGTCAGTCGATATATTTTAACATCGATTCTCGATTTCACTAATTGTGCCCCATCACTGGTTCATTAATTTTGACATATTGTGTCATTCTAAACAAGCTAATTTTTTACGTACTGTAGCCATAATCAATAATAAAATAAGACAAGCAGTGGCACTCCACACAAACGTAACAACGATGCTTGTATGTGTACACCACGTGCCATTCATTAACGAATTGAAACTAAAGCTCGGTGTTTAGAAATTACATCAAATGTAGAGAGGCGTTGAGAACCTGCTTTACTTTAGACAATAAATCCTAATCGAGGAAAATATATTCCAAAGTATATTTTTTTAATTTATAAATGAATACTTAACCAAGTATATACAACTTTTTTCATTTCATTTCTATTCCATAATCGAGGTGCTGGTGTAAAAATATAAATATGTAATATAAGTACTGCACTTGACAATAGTATTTTATGCAATCGTTAAAACCTTGTTTCCTAAGTAATAGGAACAAGATTCTAAGGGTCGTATTCCAAAACTCTACTCAATGCTCAAGTCAGGATTTGAGCAGACTTGAGTATGATTTCAAGCACTGGAAATACGACCCTAATGGCAAGGACTTGAGTATGATTTTCAGTGCTCACTGCAATACTCAAGTCCTGACTTGAGTATTGAGTAGAGTTCTGGAATACGACCCTAAGACCTACTTATGTAATGATTGCATACAATACTTTTTGTACGAGTAAATTAAAATAATGAAATACAACCAATACTTAAAGATTATTTTGTTAAAAATCAACGACCAAAAACTCAAACGAAACAAACGCTACAAAACAAAAAACCAAAAAGATAGGATACAAGTGTCCGTGATTGGCCAGGTACAGCTTATAATAGGGGTTAAAGTATGAAATTGCCGATTTGTACTGAAAATCTAAATTGTTTATTTTTTAAATTTTTAACAAATTTATTTAATCAAAATAGTTGCCATTATTATCTATACATTGCTGCCATCTAATGGGAAGGTTATTAATACCTTTGCGATAGAACTCCGACGATCTAGACTGCACAAACTGTGTGAAAGCATTTTGTACTGCCTCCTGGGAAGAAAACTTCTTGTCACGTAGATAATTGTCCAAATCACGAAAAAAATGGTAGTCCGTTGGAGCAAGGTCTGGTGAATACGGAGGATGACGAATGGTTTCTAACTGCAGTTCCTGAAGGGTCAAAATGGTTTCTCGTGCTGTGTGAGGTCTCGCGTTGTCGTGGAGCAATAATGGTGAAGATCGATTCATGAGTCGGGGCTGTTTTACTGCTAGTTTTGTCAACATGGTTCGGAGTTCGGCACAATAGACATCTGCCGTTATTGCTTGACCAGATCGGAGAAAACTATAGTGAATAACACCATGCTGAGACCACCAAACAGTTACCATTACCTTTTTATTGGTAAGTTTTGCTTTAGGACACTGTTGTGGCATTTGACCTGGGGTCAGCCATTGCATTTTTCTTTTCCGGTTATCATAAAGAATCCACTTTTCATCACATGTTACAATTCGATCCAATATTCCTTCATTTCTGTACCGGTTCAACAAGGCAACACAAGTTTCAACACGCGTTTCTTTCTGCAGATCAGTCAAATCATGAGGCACCCATTTTTCGTATTTTTTTATTTTATTGATTTGACGCAAGTGAGTCAATATTGTGGGTAAGGTAACGTTAAACCATGCCGCTAATTCCTGGGTAGTTTGACTAGGATCGGCTTCCACTATCTCTCTTAATTCATCGTTATTCACCTGTGTGGGCGGTCTTCCTCGTGACTCGTTCTTTAAGTCGAAATTTCCATCACGAAAGCGTTTAAACCAAAATCGCACGGTGCGTTCATTAGTAGACCCCTCTCCAAACGCAGCATTGATATTGCGGGCTGTTTCTGCCGCGTTAGTTCCGCGTCGGAACTCGTATTCAAAAATCACTCGAATTTTCGCAGTATCCATCTTTCTTGTCTAAATTGAATAACAAAAACAATTGAAAGTCGATATTCAAATGTTTCAAATATAAAAAAAAAAAAAATCACAGAAACCATTTGAAAAAAGTTTCATTCGAAAACCTCAAACCATGAAGATTCTATGAAAATTCAAAGAACCTATTGCAATAAAACGGCAATTTCATACTTTAACCCCTAATATTTTACTTAATTCCGTTTAATACAATAATTATAATAAAAGACTATCTTTAAGGTCGTAAATAATTTTCTGACCTGGTTGGTTATGTACTCGATGCTGGTAATACAATCAGGATCAAAAATATTTTTTGTGCCGCCATTTTGCTGTGTCATAAATGTCATTAATGCTTCGTTTCTCGAACTTGAATGTTTTCTTGTCTTTCTAGTGCGTATGTTAAATTATTGTGTATTGTTGTTAAAGTTTTTGTTCATTGTTAATATTTTGTAATAGATAATTAAAATTGTAGAAAGTGGGAAACTCCTCCTTTTCCAATTCCGTTAAAAATAGAAGGTTTAACACACCTGGATTCACACTTTGACAATGACATTTCTTTGTTTATATTTTGGTCACCTAATTAGGATTCATACCAAAGTGTAATTTCTCTATCATACTATTGGAATCTCTAGCAGGAAGCGAATAAAAGGAACAAGTGTGAAGCTTGGTGCTCTCACCGGCCGTCACACCGTCACGTGGCCCGGGCCGGAGGCGCGCGCCGGCCACGCCGCCTAGCGGACAACACCTCTAATAATTCCTTATCTAATAGATTCTTTACTCAATGGTGGACGATCGCTGCACTTTGTGTTCTAGGACACTGACTATATAACCTAGATTGATTTTAGGGTCACGTTTGCAGCTCCCGTATTGTAAACGACGACAAATGCGGTTCGCGACCTCGCGTTATGAGCCTTATAAAACTTACACTGACGTAATTTGTGAATTTGTAGCATTTTTTATTCCTTTATATACACACATAAAAAGTTTGATGAAGGATTAAGTACGTTTACGCCAAGCACTGAAAATCAGGTTTTTAATTGATTTTTAAATTTTTTTTAACACCATTGGTTTTTTGGTCAATTTCATAATTTACATAAAAAAATAATTAAATAAATACTTTAATAAATTTGTATAGATATTTTTGTTTAACTTTAATAGGGTAAACAAATATATTAAAAAATCCTTGAACCCTAGACACTTTTGATGTATGTATATAGTGATAAGTTCCATCGCTTTTTCTTATTTTATCTTTATACTTTCTAATTGCTCTTTGCTGTATCAATTATTGATATTAAGAG